CTTTTCTTGAATCTTCAAGGGGGAAAAAAACATACAATTTAAGAATATTTCGGTGAATAGTTTTGGAATTTGTTATACTTTTAGTAATACGGAAGTCTCAATCTTCAGAACAGCATTTGATTACTCCCATTAAGACTCTGTAGTTCCTGTCTTTCTTGTGAAATTAATTTTGTTGGTAGCAGACACCAAATTGGGAATAGAATTTATAACTGGTATATATTCTTGCAATTTAATGGTCTCAATTCTTATTGAACATTTAAATCTGGAAATTGAGATATATACTGCCTTAGTAAATGATAATGATGAAATATTTTCTGCTTTGTAAGTAGAATTGAAAATCACTGTAATTAGTTTCTTTTCCCTTTTTACTCCTTTCTCTCCCCCTTGAGACACATTGGTTTCCCAAGTTATGAATTCAGTTTCTTTTGTTTGTTCTAGCTGCTTAGTCTTTCTTATTACATACCTGTTTAATTTTTAATTTCTCATTAAAAGTAAATATGGCTAATTTTCCTATCAATATTGCAAGAAACCTTCCATTTCTCTCTGCCATAACCTTGATATAGTACTGTCTAGTCTATATTATTACATAATTAAAATGCTTTTTTTTTTTGTCAAATAGTTCTGGCAAAGCAACTTATCAATACGTTTTAAATGGATCAGAGATTTATTTCTGTAATGTTGAGATTAGCGTTATAAATACTGTCGTGGACCTAAAAATGCTAAGTAGAATAATATGTTCAATGCTCTGGGAAAAGTTGTTAAAATTGCAGGAAACATACTTAAAGATGAACGTATCGTAGGTATTCAGACCTTCTTAATCAGTTTCATTTATCATATAATGTAGACACATTAAAAAAATACACTAATCTTGAGTCATTTGAGAAATACAATTGGCCCTCTATATCCTTGGATCCTGTATCCATGGATTCAACCAACTACAGATTGAAAATTTTTGGCAGGTGTGGGGTGGGAAATGGATGATTGCATTGGTGCTGAACATGTACAGACTTTTTTTTTTCTTGTCATTATTCCCTAACAATACAATAAAACAACTATTTGCATAGCATTTATGTTGTATTAGGTATTATAAGTTACCTAGAGATTATTCAAAGTATATGGGAGGGTGTGCATAGGTTATATGCAAATACTACACTGTTTTATGTAAGGGACTTGAGCATCCATCGATTTTGATATCTGTTGGAGGTCCTGGAACCAATCTTCCATGGATACCCAGGGACAAGTGCATTTACTAAGCATGAACCATATGCCTGTCACTGTGTATTTGTGGTGATCCTATGGTGGCTGTGAGTACTGTTGGTGATCAAAACGGATAAGGTTATTCCTGCCCTTGGCTGTTTATACTCCTGCCCTTGGCTGTTTATACTGTAATCCTGGAGCTACTGATTTGGTAGCACCCATGCGACTGGAGCATAGTGACTGATGCAGAGACCAGCTTGAGATGAGACCACCTGGGTGGTGGGCAGGGAACTGGTGATATAAGCATATTGTTATGGGAAAGAGTTTGAACTTATTCTTGCTGTGATGACAAGCCATCAGAGGCTTACTACTGGGGAGTCCAACTTCAATTTTATACAAGATTATGCTAAGCAGTGGTGGAAAATAGTGGGTATCAGAGGAGAAGCAGAGGATTCAGTTGGTTAGATTTTATGGTAATCAGGCAAGCTAGGATGGTGACCCAGACTAAAGTAGTGGCCCTAGAGCTAGAAAGAAGTAGATTGATAAAAAACTGTTTAGAAGAATTAATAAAACTTGATGGATAGGATTTGGGGGTAGCAGGGTGATAAGGTTAAGGTCAAAGGACATGTCAAGGACCTTTCTACGTCTTTGGCTTGAACAACTGGATAAGTGGAAATCCCGTGTCTTGAGGTAGAGCACATGAGAGGAGGAGCTGATTTGGAAGGGACAGTCCAGTGTTCAGCTTGGGGTATGTAGAGTCTGGTGGGGAGGGTGTGTTTGTAAGGTAAGGGAGCACAGGGACTGTCCTTTCTTGAACTCTGGTAACTGGCTCGTGGTCTGGATGCAAGTTATAATACATAAACCATTTCTAAAACCCAACAGATTTTTACAGGTTTTCAGTTCACAGGTAAGTTGCTATAACTGATGATGCCTCTGTGGTCTTTCAGATAGCGCAGCACTCTAAAAATTTCTATGTATTTGATAGTCAAAACATTAACTATATTCATTTTATAGTCAGTGCTCACTTACTGTGATCGGTCTTCCTTGGTGTTCCTAGAACCGTGCCTCTCTGGCCCACAAGGTCAGGTTACAGATTTGATCTTTACATGGTTAAGTTGGATTTTCTAAGTTGTCTTTTGACAGGCTGCATCCCTCACCTTGGATGGCTGACCTGGTAACTGATTAGGAAGGAAACTGCTCTACAGTTGTTATGAACTAGGACTGATTTGTCTTTCCTACCACTTAAGACTCAAAACGTATGTTCTACCTACACTGGGACTCTAATGGCCTTTGTTTACAAAGGTGGAGCCCAACAGATATGCACTTCTCACATTGGCTATGGTTATATCTCCTTTGGCATTAAGTATGCATTTATGGAGAAGTAAAGCCACACAATTTTACTTCTCTTTTGATTTCCTGTGGACAACATTTTTATTCCTTCAACAAGTATAAGTAGGCCATTTAAAGGCTGGGAATATAAGTGTTTTGTTATTTGCTGTACCTCCAGTGCCTGGCACAGGGACTGGCATGCATATGGCACTTGATAAATATTTATTAAATACATGAGTGAAAGAAGGAATGGCTGAATCATTGTTCTGTGAGAAAGGATAATTCAGTTTTCAGAATCCAAGGCGGCAGGCAAACTATATTTTCCTCTAAGATTATGTCCCTGGAACCTGCTGAGAAATCAAAGCTGAAAAATAGAAATTTGGGCATCATCCTGATAAAAAGAATTACAAAAATCATGAAAGTGGAAGCCCTTTAGTGTGTGCAGGGGGCAGTAGGGATAGAGGAGAAGCGAACAGCAGAGAAACGGGTTGGAAGGAGGAGTGAAGCCTCAGGAAAGCAAGGAGTCCTGTGGAAGCAGGAGCAGTCAACAGTGGAGAGCTGGGAGGTGCGAAGGGATGCAGACACAAAGACACCTTTTCATCTGGCCAGAAGTAACTTAGGAAAGTGCAATCAGAGCCTGGGACACAGTGTAAAGTAAGACTGAGAATTCTGTCCTTTTATCTATATTCTTCATTACTAGTGATTGTAATTGAGGGGCAAGTTTTTCTTGAGCAAAGATGTAGTTTTGATTTTCTGCTACATAAAGCCCAGCATCATAAGACACTCTTGGCAATGATATTGAAGGGTTTATTTTGTGATTTCTTGTAAGCTGATTATTTACTGATCAATAATCAAGGCCAGCCAGTTTTTTTATTGTTCCTATTAAAGGTAATAATGTTTGATATATATAATATACATATTTATGTGTATGTGTGCACACGTGTACACACATGTTGATAAATTTAGGAGAATTACAAAAAAGTCACAGTAGGAAAAGATTTGAAAATTGACTTGAGTTCTAATGTGAAAAATATAGGTCATTTATCCAGAGTTATTTGGAAGCATTTCAGTTTAAATTTCATTAAATTCTCTAGTTCATAAGAATGCTACAGAGCTACAATAATAACAATATAGAAACTTGGGTTGTGCTAATACATGGGGTTGTGCCAGTAATGTGTGTGTGCATGCCTGTGTAGGTATATGGCTAATTGTATGTGTGTGTGTGTGTATGCACACACACATTTGAGTCTTTTTAGGATGTTACCATTTGCAAAGGAATTAGTTCTTACATAAGTAAGTTTACTTTATAGAAATGAAAGTAGTAGCTACTGTTTATTCTGCAGCTCTTTTGTTCCAAGCATGTTACAGTAATCCTGGGAAGGAGGTTTTATGATTCTTAAAGTGAAGAAGTTGAAGTTCAGAAAGTTTAAATGATTTGCCCCAAGTCACAGAGCTGGAAGATAGGAGAATCCTGCCTTTTTTTTTTTTTTTTTAATACTCATGCATTGTCCAGTGTACAGTTAGAGTCCTTAGGGTGTAAGAGTGAGTTACCTGTTTGGTTGGGGGCCAATTAATCTCCATAGAGAAAACAGAAACCATTAGATGAGAACTTTTTCAACATTTTGCACCTAATCTATTTAATATCCATAGCTACACCTATTTTTCTTTTCTTTCTGTTAAGAGGAAAAGGCTCTTGCCTCCAAGCACTTCATCCTTTTTATTTATCTGTGTCTCTGCCTGCACCTCTTCCCTTACTAGCTTCTTCCCATGAGCATAAACCAATTTCTCCCTGTCTTAGTCCGTTTAGGGTTGCTATAAATACCTGAGTCTGAGTAATCTATAAAGAAAAGAGGTCTATTTCGCTCACAGTTCTTCTGGCTTAAAGTTCAAGATTGAGCATCTGGTGGGGGCCTCAGGCCACTTCTGTTTGTGGTGAAAGGTGAAGGGGAGCTAGCATGTGCAGAGATCATGTGGTGAGAGAGGAGGCAAGGGAGTGGGAAGGTGCCAGTCTCTTTTAACAATCAGCGCTGGCAGGAACTAATAAGAGTGAGAACTCACTCACCCCCTGACCCCAGGGAGGGCATTCATCTTTTCTTGAGGGATACTCCCCCATGACCCAAACACCTCCCATTAGGTTCTACTCCAATACTGGGGATCGGATTTCAACATGAGGCCGGGTAGTGGCTCCTGCCTATAATCCCAGCACTTTGGGAGACTGAGGCAGACATATCACCTGAGGTCAGGAGCTCAAGACCAGCTTGACCAACATGGTGACACGCAGTCTCTACTAAAAATAGCTGGGCATGGTGGCACCTGCGTGTAATCCCAGCTACTCGGGAGGCTAAGGCATAAGAATCATTTGAACCCAGGAGGTGGAGGTTGCAGTGAGCCAAGATCATGCCATTGCACTTCAGCCTGGACTACAGAGTGAGATTCGGGCTCTAAACAAATAAATACATTCATTCGTTCATTCATTCAACATGAGGTTTTGGAGGGACAAACACCTAAACCATAGCACTCCCCAAAGGTAATACCTTCTGTATTAGTTGTAATGTTGCATAACAAACCACTCCAAAGCTCAGTGAAGTAAACCAGTACCATTTATTTAGCTTACTGTTTTGTGGGTCAGCAAATTAGGCTGGGCTCAACTGGACTCACTTGTATACCTGTGGTCAGCTAGACAGCTTCACCTCTGGAGAAGTAGCTGACCAGTGGCAAGGACCTTCAGGGTGACTGCAGTCTGTACCTTTCTTTCATTACTCAGCACACTGGCCTAAAGTTCACATGGTTGCTTGAGAGGGTTTCAAGAGAGAAGCCTATAAATCATCTTGAGGTGTAGGCTGGGAGCTCGTGTAGTATCCCTTCCTCCACATTCTGTTAGCCAAAGCATGTCACAATGCCAGCCCAGGTCCAGCGGGGTGGAGAAGCGGGCTAGTAAGCCATGGAACTTCTCATTGTCATTAACCCCAAATCATATTGTTGGGATCAACAATATCACCCTTGATTTGGGGTTAATGTTAGATCTCATAGTTCTCATAGTTAGATGACCACCTCAGGCTGCGTTTGTGCCTGTGCTCTGGGTTCCCTCTCTCACTGCAGTTAGAACATCATGTGGCCGCTGTTGGTTTATTTCTCGGTGGAAAGTGAGCCTCTTAAAACCAAGGACTGTGTATCAACCCAGGATTTGGCTTGTAGAGGAGGTAACGAAAAGCTGAAGTTGTTGTGAAAGTAGATGTCAGACCATTGGTATCTGGCAGCATGGAAATTGGGATTCAAGATAATGTATGCTTGTGTCTTCAAACTTGCTTGTTGATGTTTAAAAACTTTGGAGCAAACTCATTCTAACATATCAAAATCAAATATTTCTTTGAAAAAAATGGAGGGGGTAAAGAATCCTGGCTAGGATTCTGAGTAGAAATCATTTAATGCTTGCACACTATCTTTGTAGGTTTTTCATGAGGTTACATGTTTGTTTATAAGGAAGTCAAGTTAATTTCGTGACGTGTTTGTCAGAGAAAACTGTCCATTAACTGATTCATTGGGATTTGGGATAAAATTTCTATTCTAGAATGTAAAATGAAGGAAGGGTGTCAGTCAGCATCCTAGATATTACTCTAGAAGATGTTGAACGTAAATATTTCTGTTAGAATGAGTAGTAGCATTTACCTTAAGGGAGTTTGTCTTGAAGTGAGTATGTCTTATTGTGCACTGATTCTTAATTGATTGTTTTTCACATGCATTTTGTGTTTTAGGTTCAGCTGTCTATATATCTCCCTAGATACCTAAAACTGACTACCTGATCACGTCTTCCCATTGCTGAGCTATTTCCCTGATATCTGGCCATGCAACGGAGATCAAGAGGGATAAATACTGGGCTTATTCTACTCCTTTCTCAAATCTTCAATGTTGGGATCAACAATATTCCACCTGTCACCCTAGCAACTTTGGCCCTCAACATCTGGTTCTTCTTGAACCCTCAGAAGCCACTGTACAGCTCCTGCCTTAGTGTGGAGAAGTGTTGCCAGCAAAAAGACTGGCAGCGTTTACTGCTCTCTCCCCTTCACCATGCTAATGATTGGCATTTGTATTTCAATATGGCATCCATGCTCTGGAAAGGAATACATCTAGAAAGAAGACTGGGAAGTAGATGGTTTGCCTTGGTTATCACCACATTTTCTATACTTACTGGAGTGGTATACCTGCTCTTGCAATTTGCTGTTGCCGAATTTATGGATGAACCTGACTTCAAAAGGAGCTGTGCTGTAGGTTTCTCAGGTAAGGGAGACAAAATTTTGAGGTTGCATGCATAAAGGAAGCAAGGGAGGTGTGGCTGCTGTCATTTTATGAAGTGTGGGTCCCTAGTTGGTGAGAGGAACCAAATTCTAAGTGGTTAATGGCTGCTGATGTTTTGCATCTTGAAGAGGAGGCTGGAGCATGCAAGGACTAGTTTTTGCCATTTAACATTATGCTGCATCATCCACTCTTAGACAGTCTGCACTAGGACCTGCTGGGAGGTGGTTTGTAGAAGACATAGTATTGGAAATATGCACCAGCTCCATATGGTAGGGTCACAGAAAGACCCACAGATGTATCTGTAATAGGGAGGTCTCAAAAAAGATGACTGTGCTTGTGAAGTAGGCTCAATGTGCTGTCTCTGATTACCAACTTGTCTGCACCTGGTGAGACAGAGCACACTCATCTGCAACAAGTTACATGAGGCAGATTTAGTATTGACAGTTAGGCAGCAAGGGACAACAGGAGGCTAGGATTCATTGTGAGCCCGTCCTTCAAGGCTCAAAAAGCTGCCCAGGGCTGTTGGAGTCTTGACTGTGTGTGCTCCTTTCATGCAGATAAGGAACCCCGAAGAGGCAGCCAGGTACAAACCTGGGAATCACATGAATCACTAGGCAAAGCTTTGAAAGACATCCTATTTAGGGAGTGGATTAGGCTGTTTCAGCCAACCCCCTTTTATCTCAGGGTGTTGAATTTCCAGCACATTTCCACAGTTATTCTTGAGAACGACAAGCGAGAAAGGAGGGGGAGATCTACATAGGTCCAAGTCCACCTGGAGAACTGTCCTGCATATGCCTCTGGATGACTTTGTTAATAAATGCACTACACCCTGGTATGGCATGCTGGCCCTGTTTTAGGAGCCATGATAGTCACTCTGCATAACCTAACCAATTTAATTTATACAGCAGATCCATGTGGAGATGGGATTGTCTTGATTTTATTTTATTATTTTTTTATTTTTTTGAGACGGAGTCTCGCTCTGGTGCCAGGCTGGAGGGCAGTGGCGTGATCTCGGCTCACAGCAACCTCCGCCTCCCAGGTTCAAGCGATTCTCCTGCCTCAGCCTCCCGAGTAGGTGGGACTACAAGGCACGTGTCACCATGCCCAGCAAATTTTTGTATTTTTAGTAGAGACGGGGTTTCACCATGCTGGCCAGGATGGTCTGTATCTCTTGACCTTGTGATCCACCCACCTTGGCCTCCCGAAGTGCTGGGATTACAGACGTGAGCCACTGTGCCCGGCCTTGATTTTATTTTACTTTTTTTATTTTTAATTTTTTTTTTTCTGACCACCTGTGGACTGTTGGGGGATTGTCCTGATTTTATAGATGAGGAAGCCAAGACCCAGAGAAGTGAAGTCACTAGCACAAGGTTACCCAGCTAGGAAGCGATGGAGCTGGGATTTGAACCCAGTCTGCGTATTAGCTGTATGATGCATTGTCTCTCACCTTCTTCGTCACTAGTTCCTTTTTACAGATATTTCATGGGACCAAAATTTCCAGCAGGTTTTAAATTAGGTGTTCTAAATATTAGAATGTGAAGGGGAAGAGAGAAAAGTCCTGAAACAAGGAAATCTAATCTAATCCTTCCTTCTGCTTTTCCTGACATCCTTCCCCTTTCCTTCCAAGATGTGTCCTTATGCATCTAATTGTGGGAGAAGAAAGAATATATGCCCTGCCTTCAACATGTTTTTCCATAGAGGTTAGAAAAATACAAATTACTGGTATTTTTATTGAGTTAAAATTATATAGCATAACTATTTTATTTTATAGTGTACACTATTTTATAGTGTACAGTTCACTGGCATTTAATACCAATGATAGTATTTTATTCACATGTTAGGTATTATGTATTTAGTAGCATACTGAACACCAATATGAACTTCTATATTTACAAACATCAAAGGCGTGACTGCCTTTAACGTTGTCTTTTTACCGAATGCAGGATTTTAAGGAATAGGGTATGTTTTAAAGCAAAAAGTTGGATGTAATCGAATAATCATTTTCACTTTTAATTGGCTTTCTTTGTAAATGTTGATACTCCTACTTTGGGATTGTTAATATTTGCATGTTCTTCATTCTCTTTTAGGAGTTTTGTTTGCTTTGAAAGTTCTTAACAACCATTATTGCCCTGGAGGCTTTGTCAACATTTTGGGCTTTCCTGTACCGAACAGATTTGCTTGTTGGGTCGAACTTGTGGCTATTCATTTATTCTCACCAGGGTAAGTGTTTTCTTTTAGGGAATACAGTTGAAGAACCTGATGTTCCATGGAGAAAAAAAATTGCAATAATAACAAGGAAACCACTTGTTTTCCACAGTGAGGTTTATTCTTTATCTGTTAGGACAGAGTCAAGCTTGATGGTTTTAATGTCAGACATTTCTGGGTTTAAATCTTGTTAACTGTTGAGCTGTATAATTGTAGGTTACTTGTCCTAACTGAGTTGCAGATTCCTCGTTTTTTGACTAGGAGAAACTGTTATACAGATTTGAGGATCAATATTAACCGGCCAATCAGCTGGTTAATTCTGAAAGCAATATTCCAAAGAAGCACATAGAAACCATATAACTCTAAAGATTTAAAAGCTATAAGATATGTTGATCTAATGCTTTTTTTTTTGGTCTGTCTGTTTCTGAGATGGAGTCTCACTCTGTTACCCAGGTTGGTGTGCAGTGGCGTGATCTCAGCTCACTGCAACCTCCACCTCCCCGGTTCAAGCAATTCTCCCGCCTCAGCCTCCCAAGTAGCTGGGATTACAGGCTCCCACCACCACGCCCAGTTAATTTTTGTATTTTTAGTAGAGACGGGATTTCACCATGTTGGCCAGGATGGTCTCCATCTCTTGACCTTGTGATCCGCCCACCTTGGCCTCCCAAAGTGCTGAGATTATAGGCATGAGCCACCGCGCCGGCAGATCTAATGCTTTTAAGCCATTTTAGCTGTCAATTGTCTTGGTAATAGAACTTTTTAAACAAAAGGCTTTACTTGACACTCAAAATGTGAAATGGATCAGCTCTGAAGTCTTTTGGGTTGAGAGGTGGCATGGGGCCCCTTTCACTGTACTCCCATGTTGCTGTGGCTTCCTCAGAGGAGGCACCTCCACAAAACTCTAAAGCTCCAGGAAGTGCAATTTCAGAACTGCTGATCTCTAGATGAATTTTTTCCCTTACAGAGAAGGACTTGGAAATTCGGAAGGTTAAGAGACTTGTCAACAAACAGTTTGTGGTAGACACCAGCCTCATGAGGATTCAGGCCCCCTGACTCCTGTCTGGGGCTCTTGCCTATTCATGCTGCACTTTCTTCCTTTGGTTCCTTTCTCTGCTTTTTGTTTAGGAAAAGGAGGATAAGTTGTGTTATTTGTCCACCTCTTCCACCAGCTTCACTTTCCTTAATCTGTCTTGTGCAACTGGAAATACATGATATTTGTTTTTACTGTGGGACTGGATATTGGCGAAGGGTGAGATTCAGGAAGGTTCAGAAAGAAGGAAGATTTCTGTTTGCTACTGTTCTTTACAGACAGTTTTTGTTTTGGTTTTGATTTGTGTGACTGTACTGAGTGTCTTACCTTATTCGAGAGTATTCTCATTGGGCTGTGTGTCAGCCCGGTAACTCCGGGTCCTTCTTTAATGCTAATTTCCCATCACGGGCAGCCCCTGGCAACTGGCCTATAAATGGCAGTGATGTGGTCCCTGAGTACTACTCATTTACAATTGTATTGCTACTTTTGACAGTTCCACGAAGAAAGTCTAACAAAATCTTCAAAGTTTTCTTTGAAAAAGCATCCAGTAATGTCTGTCCCTTATCTGAACAGCCCTCTCTATACCTTGTCACTCACTGCTCCTCTGACTTGCTTGATGTGACTTGGTTCTCTGTGTCAATGATAGGCTCTTGTATGTGACTGGCAACACCCAGCATTCATATGAAAATCACTCCCTCTGCTATTTGAACTTTTATCCTGTGATGAATCCATTGAATAACAGTGCATTTGATATTCTTATGCAACTATTTCTGAAGAGCTTTTTATGCATTTCACTTTTTAGGGTTCCCCCCAACTTACATGGAAAAGGCATGGTTGCGTTTTTATGTCATATGCATATTCTGTGTGGAGGGACCGGTAATTCTGAGCTTGGGAAGTAAATGAAATTTCCTGTCTTTGAACTTGAAGTCTTTTGATTTTTAAGATTTGACTGCTTTGAATGATAAACTTCTAATATACAAGCATCTACTTATGCATGTATCCAAATAAAGACTACACTAAACACCGGTCCAGGAAACCTAAGCAGTGAATGCTTCTTTGAGACAGATCTTGGAAGAATGGGTGAAACTGGAGCTCTCTTTGCAATGCATTGTTATTTGCCTGATGGTTGTCAATTAGAATTTTCATTGGGAAAACACTGTAAATCTTTACAACAAAGCTTGCTTTATTGCAGGACTGTATGGGCTGCCCTTTCGGAGGAAAACAAAATCTGCCAAAGCAAACATTTGGTGGACCTCTGTGTTTTATGAAAGCCACGGAATTAGTAATTTCCGTGGTTACAGTTAGAGTTTTATGAAGGAAAGCCACTCCAAATAGGCATTGTGAGGAGTATGAGGGGTGTGGACTTGATGCCAGAGTGAAGCAATCTCACTCATTCACGTGGTGCTTTTGCTTCTCATAGTCTCTGTACTTACTTCAGAGGTTGCTCTGCTTCACACGTGGCTTTCCATTTTCCTTCATGGGACCCTGATAGGTGATAGTGTCTGAAGAGGCGTCCAAGGAGGGAGGTGTGCAGTCCACCTCTGGTGCCTCCTTCCTAGACTGGGCTCCTGTCCCTTCCCCCCTCCTACCCCCAAGATTCTGTTGATGGAAGGAAGGGGGATATGTTGCCTGGTTTTACCTTCTAGCCAGATTGTGGACCTCTGTGTGTTCTCACCTGAGACTTAGGCCATCTAGACAGAAAACCGAAGTGGAGAATCATGAACATCACCCAGAGTAAAAGAGCCGCTCAGCAACTGTGCTAGAGGAGAGCGGTTGAATGTGAGGGGGCCAGGCTCACATACTGGCTGTGGGATCTCGGGCAAGGTACATATCCTTTCCGAGCCTCATTTTCCTCACCTGTGAAATGGGATATTACTTACCTTCTCTGTTTAATAAGTCAGTTTTAAGGAGTCATATGTGAATGACCTCTTTGTAAACAATAAGTACTCACCCCTTTTATTACGAAGTAAATCTCTGGATGTGTACACTGTTCCTAAATAGAATCATACCTAATTTCTTTTTCTTTCTAAAATTAATAAATCAGCTGTTATTTAATTTTGTTTGTTTGACTTCCACTCCCTACTTCCCTTTGCTCCTACCTGACTTTTTTCATCCTTAATGACAGTAGTCTAAAAATGCCCATAAGCCACTCTTAAACACTAAATAAGCAAGCCTTGGTTGCATTTGGACCCTGGGGTATTACAGTTGACCCCTGAACAAGTTGGGGGTTAGGAATGCTGAGCCCCCATGTAGTTGAAAATTCATGTATAATTTTGGACACTCCAAAGACTTAACTATCAATACCCTACTGTTGACTGGTTAAGTCAACCTACCCAAAAACTGGTAAGGCTTTACTGATAACATACACACACATTTTGTATGTTATATGTATTATGCACTGTATTGTTACAGTAAGCTAGAGAAAATAAAATGTTTTTTAGATCATCATAAGGAAGAGAAAATGTATGCACTATTTGTTAAGTGGAAGTAGATCATTATAAAGGTCTTTATCCTCATTACCTTCATCTTGAGGAGGAGGAGGAAGAGCAGAAGGAGTTGGTCTTATTGTCTCATGGGTAGCAGAGGTGGAAGAAAATCCTCATGTAAGTGGACCTGCATAGTTCACACCCATGTTGTTCAAGGATCCACTGTATTTGGTAAAACATGGCAGCTGAAAGCATTACCCCCTAGGCTTTAGATACTGTTTCATTGCTAATATTTGACAAGAATAAAATTACTTCGACCCAACTAAAAACTCTTTGGCTAAATTGATCAAATGAGATAAATATATATATATTTTTTTACTTGTTTCCATTTTTTATTATACAGATTTTCAATTTACTTTTCAATTTAAATTTTATTTTCAATTTATTTTTCTACTTGTTTCAATTTTTTATTTTCAAAAATATTTATAAATTTATAAATTTTCAAACATAAAGAAACGTTGATGCACCATTTGACAGTAAGTTGTAAACATAGTAACTTCACCCCTAAAAACTTTAGCAGGCATCTCTTAAACATAAAACTATAATTTTACAAAACCACATTACTGTTGTCATGCAAAGGAAAATTAACAGTAATTCTTTAATGTTGTTTAGTAATTGGTTCATGTTCAGATTCTCCTAGTGTTCAAAATATCTTTAATAACTGTTGTTGTGGCCCAAGGAGAACCAGGATCCAAAATTCACATATTACCTTTGATTATTATATTTATTTATTCTTGTATTCTAAGACGGTCTTCCCACCTTTTTACTTTTCCATGAAATTGACATTTTAAAGATATCAGATCTCTTGTTTTCTAGAATATCCCACACTCTAGACTTATCTCCTTGTTTCCTTTGGGGCTTGTTTAACTTGTCCCTCTATCCCTTGCTTTTCTGGAAACTGAAAGTTAGGTCTAAAGGCTTAATTAGATTCAGATTAAACTGGCTCTTTTTTGGCAATAATACTCCATAGGGATGATACATGTTGCATTACATCAGGAAGGACATACATGCTAGGTGGCTCCTCTGTTAGGAATTATAAGTTTAATTACTTGGTTAAGATAGTCTCCATTATAAGGGCACCTTTATCCCTTTGGAATTAGCAAGTACTATATGAGGTGACACTTGGACACCATGCAGATAACTTGTTTCCAGTAACTTTTTGTCTTATGGTTTTTGTATAGATCAGTGGTTATCCTTGTCTGGATTGTTTATTTTAGGGAGAGTTATAAAGGATGACTTTCTCATTGGTTATTCTTTTTACACTTGTTTGATGAGATTAATCCAGAGTTGGGGGTTAAGACCCCAAGACAAGGAATTGAGGAAGATGAATGTTTGTCAAAGGCTGATCTTAGTTTTACAGACTTCAAGCTTGTTTAGTTTTGTGGGTTCTCCTTAGGAAAAAAGTACAAAACTGCACAAAAAAGTAAAAATTTTAAATGAGAAAGGGAAAGACAGTTCATAAATTTTAAGAGCTGACAAATATTATAAACATGAAATCC